AAACTGGGATGTCCATTGATATATTTTGATATATACTAGTTGTTACTAACTAATCTTACCTCCTGATGATAGTTAAACAATAAAACTTGATAAAAATTCTACTCAGGGTGTACGTCAAAAGGGAAGTCCGAAATTTATTTTCCACATTTAAAACCATTTTTTTTCCTTATATATTACTTAAAATGCAAGTTATAAAAATGATACACAGTCTAGTGTGATAAAACTGTGGATGTCTATTGATATATTTTGATATATACTAGTTGTTACTAACTAATTTTACCTCCTAGTGATAGTTAAACAAAAAAATTTAATAAAAATTCTACTAAGGGTGTATGTTAAAAGGGAAGTCCAAAGTTTGTTCTAACTGAAATAACCATTTTGATTTTTTTTAAATCAATGAAAGAAAAAATTTAAAAAAAAAAAAATTCTATATAACAAAATAAAATAAAGTCAATTCAAGTTTCTAACTAAGTTATTTAACTCAAAAGTTAATTTAACCTCCATCAAAATATTGTAATTATTATTTTTTAACAATCGCAAAATTATGAAACCAATGTACTATTTTCCGGTTTTTAATATTTTGGAATTTGAACCGTTTTCCGGTTTTGAATTTTTTTCCAACCCTTCAAGATAATTAACCGTCCATAATTTGCTTTGTTTTAGCTGTAGTTTGGTTTTAATAGCTATATATAGTAAGATTTTTCAACAATATAATCAAGTTGAAAAACTTTTATTTAATTTTTTTGGGTACGTCTAACGACGTTGCATACATCCCCTAGACACGCCCCTGCTATTTGTATATTATTATTAAAAATATCAGTAGTAATAATATTATCTATAAGAGTTGCTGTGTTTATTGTTACTCTAGTAGGTCGATAAAAATTTTTAATTTTATGGTCGTCATTATAGAGAAAACAGTTCATATATAATTCTCCGACTATATAGTTTTTGATTTGATTTTTACATTTTTCGCGAGCATTCTTAAAAAGAAATACTTCTAGTTGGTTTAGAAAATGATACTGAATAAAATGATACTAGATACTCGGATAAAATACTGCGATAAAAACTATTTTCAGGGTCTAAGTTTTCTTCTGAAGAAAAGAGATTTGTTTCATATAAATTAAAAAAAAGGAATTCAAAGTTATTAGTCATAGCCATGATAATAAACAGAGAAAAAAAAAGGATTTCTTTTTAAGAGTGCTAGTTATTTGTTAAGATTGATTTTAGAATTATTATTAAGATAAATAATTTTGTCATATCTTACCGTTACATTTTCACCATTTGAACGCCTTTGTTTTACTTCCGCAAATGATCTTTTCCGAATAGCAACGGTCTCACGAGAAAAGTCTTCGTTAATGAAAAAACTCGTGCCTTTTAGTTAATGAGATTCTTTCAAGGTTTATACTTTGTCTTTGTATTTCTACAGGTTAAGTACTATTATCCTCGGTTGTCCATCTTTCTTCAATCCAGTACGGTGGGCACGTTCAATGTCCATATTTTTCAGTCCAAGTTTTTGCCAGAAGAATGTGTGAGCTTTTTCTTCAGAGTCCCCCCATTTTCATCCCCATTTTTTTATCAATTCCATCGATTCGTAGGTTATTTCTTCTTGATCTATCTTCCAGGTTTCGTTGCTTTTCCTTCATAAATTTTTCTATATTATTATGTTTGAATTTTGTATCTAGTTATTTATTGTTTTTATGAATTTTTTTGTCAAATAGTCCTACGTTGCGGTTTAGACTTTCCTTAACATCTTCCAATTCCTTTGTAAGTTTTTCTTAACATCTTCCAATTCCTTGAAGGCCAACACTCTTCTTTATTTCCAGTAACTTCTGGGGTTTCCCAAGGTTCCATCCTGGGCCCTGTTTTGTTTCTTATCTACATAAACGATCTTCCTGACAACCTTTCATCTAAAGTAGCTCTTTTTGCTGATGACTCAACTTTATACTCCTGTCTTGACAAAAAGTCTTCTCTTTTCGATCGCCTAGAACAAGCTGTTAATTTTGAATCTGATCTCACTTCAGTAATAGATTGGGGTTCACAGTGGCTTGTGAATTTCAACTCTAAAAAAACCGAATTGCTTACTGCAAACAACTACCGTAATATGGTCAATATTCCTATATTAATGAATGGCAATCCTCTTACTGAGTCCTCCTCTTTACGTCTTCTTGGATTATCGCTTACTATTGACCTTTCATGGAAACCATATATACAATCGATTGCTAAATTAGCTTCTGCTAAGGTTGCTTCTCTTTATCGTGCTCGCTATTTCGTTACTTCTGATTCCATTCTCTACCTCTACAAATCTCTTATTCGTCCCTGTATGGAATACTGTTGTCATATTTGGGCTGGTTCTTCTAACGACTCACTTTCTCTTCTTGACAAGGTCCAAAAACGCATTGTAAATGTTGTTGGATCTGGACTATCTGCTAAGTTTGAACCTCTTTCCCATCGTCGTAAAGTTGCATCTCTTTCTCTTTTCTACAGATACTATCATGATCACTGCTCAAAGGAGTTATCATCTCTAGTTCGATCAACTAAAATTCATTCTCGTTTTACTCGTCATTCAACTAAGTCTCATTCGTTTACTGTATCTGTCCCTGCATGCTCTAAAAACTTTTATTCATCTAGTTTTTTTCCCCGCACTTCAACCCTTTGGAACTCTCTCCCATCTTCATGTTTTCCTGACTCATACAACCTTTAACTTTTCAAGTCTTCTGTCAACCGTTTCCTTGCTCTATAACTCTGTTCTTTTTTTTTCCTAGTAACTCTTAACTTAATAGTGCAGCCTTGTTGGGAGTGAATGCAAATTAAAAAAAAAAAAAAAAAAAAAAAAAAAGTTCTTTAATTTTGTTTGCATTCACGTTGATGTTTAACTCTGCTTTGTCCATTCTGTCGTTAATTATTTTTATATTAGCGCCAATAATATCAACAACAGTTTTCTCTTGTTTACGAAACATTTCTTCAGTTTCATTTTTGAATTCTTTAAATATTTCTTTTAACATTTTTTGTATTTCAGAAAGTGTTACTGCCATAATATACGTGATAAAATAAAAATAGTTTTTTAGATTAAACTTGAATTGTTTTGCAAATGTAAAGTAATCCAAATGTTATGTAATCCAAATGTTTTTTAAACTCTCCTTGTGGTAAAATCGCGTCTGCTCTTGTTGCTTTTGTTGAAAAAACTTAAACTCACTCATAATGGTATTGAGACTCAAAACTTTTACAATGGTTTATTTCAATGTGGTGTGATTTCTAAACAAATCTAAACAAGAGGTATAGCAACATAGTAGGCACTTCATCATTTTTTTTTTCTAAATGTAAAATGAAAACAAAATAAATTCCATAAGTTAAAGCTAAATGTTAATGCTTAAAAAATACCAACCTTATCGAAGTGTTGTGTTTTATCCTCCTCCGGCTTTTTGCCATATCAGGCTCAGGCTACAGGCTCAGGCTACAGGCCTGAGGCCTCTTTATGGCAATTATATAGCAATGACCAACCCTGCGAAGACGAGTTCAGCTCACTAAATAGCATCATAACAAGTTTCGACGGACCAATAGTAAGTGAGTTTAAGAAAAACGACAGTTTTTCTTAAACTCACTTACTCTTGGTCCGTCGAAACGGTGACAGCCTATAGAAGTCAAGTTAGAAAGATATATATATATCGGAAAAATATTCACTGGATATTAGAATGTGCAATTATACATTAATTGGTTACTACTAGTTAATATATTACCAACCTAACTGTTATATTATTATTAGTTGAAAAGTTATACAAATTTTAAACCACAAAAATTATGATTTCTTTTGTATGACTTTTTACGCTTTCAGCAACTAGCGTTTATAGAAAATGCTTCAACGTCCATTTTTTTACAACCTTGCTTCAAAAGTAACAATACACAAGACCTTTATTACTCAAAAGTCCGTAATAAAAACGTTATTTAAAAATAAAAACTATAGTATAATTGAAATTGTAATGGCTAGGACACGACCTACATTATTATTATTATTATTATTATTTTTATTATTAGTAGTATTATTATTATTGAGTGATCAAAAAAAAAAACAAATACAGTAATCCGTTTAAAGTTTGATGAAGAGGTGCTACACCAGGTCCCTCTACGCTGACATAAATAAAAAACACAGAAGCTACAGACAAACAAGCAATTGTGTCTCTAAAAGTTACTTTGTTTTACTGTTTTTGAAAGCATGGATTGATGGAGCGTTCACTACTTCTTGGGAAAGTACATTCCATGCGACAACTAGTCTATTTGAAAAAATGTTTTGTCGTTTTTTACAATTTCATACAAGGTGGCGTTCTAGTTTTTCATTATGCCCTCTCAAAATATACTTGGCTTTACTGTTTGAAAGTTTTTGTAGAACGAAAAAACTGACAAGTTTGAGTTGACGTGTGATTTTAAATTGTTCAATTAAATCTGCTTTTTAACGGCGTTCTTCAAGTGTTGTTAGACCGAGCTGTTGTAGTCAATTTTTATACGACTGGTGTTTAATAGATGATATTGTTTTTGCTGCTCGATGTTGGACTTGTTCGAGGATAACAATGTCAGATTTAAAATGCGGCGACTAGACTGGAACAGCAAAAGCAAATGTAAATAAGATACAATGTGTGCCATAAATAAAAACTGCGACTCCGAAATGTTTTTTTGAGTTGTCCTAGCATTCTATTTGTGATTGATGTAGCTGACTCTACTTGTGGTCTCACTTTAAGGTCTTTGGAGGCCATCACACCAAAGTCTTGTTCGACTACAGTCTTTTTGAGTGGATAGCGCGTGCTGTCAACGTTGGCCATTGAGTAATTGTGCGTCGACTTGTTAAAAGTACGGCCAACATGCATTATTTTGCATTTCTCAATGTTGAAATGCATAAGCCAAATATGTAACCATTCCACTGCTCTGTCAATGTCGGCTTGGAGAGTGATACTGTCCGACTCGTTTTTAATTATGCCAATAGTTTTACTGTCGTCAGCATATAGTTTCATATGATGACTAATTCTGGTCGGCAGGTCATTAATGAAGATTACGAAGAGCAATGGGCTCAAGACCGAGCCTTGAGGCACGCCACTAGTGACCGTTTGCCATTCAGATGTGATGCCGTTGATGACCACTCGTTGACTTTGGTTGAAAAACCAAGTTGAGATCCAGTTTAAAAGCGTGCCTTATATACCGTAGGCTCTTAGTTTATGAAGAAGGCGTTTGTGCGGCACTTTGTCAAACGCCTTTGCAAAGTGTGTGTATATGACGTCTACTGCATGGCTGCGGTGAATGGCTTTCGTCATGATATCCCAAGTTTCTAGCAGGTTTGAGACGCAAACCTTGCGATAAATAAAACCATGTTGCTTTGGAGTAATTAAGTCATTAGCAACACAGTGTTCCATTATCCTTTTTTGAAGAATAATTACTATTATTTTGCATGAAATGGATGTGAGCGAGATAGGCCGGTAGTTTGATGCATTTATTTTACTTCCTTTCTTGAAAATTGGAGTTACATTCAAGTTTCTCTACACGAGCACTTATAGATAAGTGAAAGTGGTTTGGCGAAGCTAGTTGCACATTTACTAAGGACCCGTGGATGTAAACCATCGTAGCCGGTTGACTTTCTTTCATCAAGGTGATAGAAGCAATTTTGTGCTATATCAATAGAAAAACTTGCTGGGTCGACAACACAAATTGCTTCAGTAAATTGTGCTTTAAAACAAAAACCGAATGAAAATTGTGATTCTTTGAGTAATTGGTGCGCATTGCGACCTGCATTAATAAACTTGGCCCAAGAGGCGCGTTTAGCTTTGACCGCCTTAATAAAATCTGGTGTTACCCATTGCTTCTGTTTTTCAGTGAAGGGAGTAGTTTTTAATGGGATTTATAGATTGATAGCTTCATTACGCACGTATACTAGAAGCTGGTAGCTATCGTTTCCATTTAGACCAGTAAATTCTATTTCCCAATCAACAGCTGCAACGTGCGAGGATATTGCTGCGCAGTTTGCTCGGCTTCAAATAAGTCGAGGTTGTAATGGCAAATTAAGCAAGTTGTTAGGGCCTACAACAGCGAGTTGACCTTTAATAAAGCAGTGTGCCTGGCCCATTGTAGTGTTACTGAGAGAATTAACTTGTTCGATGAAGATGGCACGGTTTGAGTCGTTTGTTATGATCAGAACAAATGTGCTAGTGGGCTCGACGTGTCGACTACTATGGTACGTTGGGAATGTGACAAGTTGAGTTAGGTGACATTCATCAAGGCACTTTTGAAACCTGATATCGCCTAGACGTTCATCTCTCACGTGGGCAACTGTTGCAATGCTACCGTTAACTTCGATAGACTCATAAGATGTATGGCTGAAATTGAAATCTCCATATAGTAGCATTGTCGAGCAGTTTATATTAGGCAGTATCTGCCAAGAGGCCGTGATCAATGTGATACCCTGAGTAAGAACCTGATCATTAAGTTCGTGAGGACGATATATGCAGCCAAGGAGAGACAATTCTTTGCCCATTTTTATTTTTTGCCAAATTTGCTCAATTGATGTTGAGTTGAGCTGAGTAGAAATAACTTCATTGATTATAATATTGTCTTTTGTGTAAATGGCAACTCCACCACCCTTAGTTTCTCTGTCTTTGCGATGAGGTTGGTAGCCGGGTATGACAACGTCTGAGAAATCTGTGAACCAAGTTTCTGCAAAAAATATGACTTGTGGCCAACTAGATTTAGGCAGAGCAGAGAGTCTGGCCAACAGCTCTTGGCGTTTGTCATTATTGAGTGAGCATGGATTGTTTGCTCAGTAGTGTAGATGGCTAGGTGCAACAGTTGAAGAGTTCGACTGGATTGGTTTTATCTTTGCTTTAGTTATCGGTCTAGGACGTCTAGATGGCAGTAGAGTCTAGATGGCAGTACATAATAAATTTGACATAATAAATCTGCAATCGTACTTTTTTAAAGATTTTCCTGTAATGACAATTCAAAAAAGGTTTTATAATAAAATAAACTAACTGTCATTTTTTTATTATTGTTATTATTATTTTCACCATCTAATTGATAAATATAAAAATTAAAACTTCCGTTTATATTTCTTTTCTCATAGAAACTTCTACGTTAAGTCTTAAAAATTGATGAGTACTAAGAGAAAAACAAAATTCAAATTTTTTTTTAAAGTTATTTTTTTGATGGGAGGCATATTTTTAATGTGATCAACGCTCACAATTTAAAATTATGCACATTGTTATGGTAATATAATAATATAAATGATTTTTTTATTAAATAAAAAAGGACGCTTAATACTTATACAAAAATATAAAATGACTTTATTTTTTGAATCGAATTAAAATTTACCCGACTGAAATGTATACAATACCCAACTAGCCAACTATATTCCTCAAAAAACCAACTAAAGCTTGAAAATCGGTTTTTTCTTTTCACCGTTTTAACCCCCCACACCCTACCCCACCTCCGTCCTCCCCGTGTAAAATTGCTTTTGTAGATAATTTTTTCTAAGAATTTCGAACGAATTATGTTTAATAGATAATAATTTTTTTAATACAGCAATTTGGATTGCAGAAAAACAATTCAACTTAATACGTAATACTCTACATAATCAATGAAACTCTTTTGCATACGCATGTTGATGTTAGAGAACTACCTAAATAAATTCATTTTTTATCAAAAAAAGAGAGAAAGTGTCCTTCATAAAATTTATTCCAATAAAAAGCTACCATTTTTATGTTAATTTACTTTAGGTGTATTTACCAACCTCTCCAAAGTGTTTGATATAGCTTATCACAAAATAGTTGTAAAAAACTTTTATTGAATAAGAGGCATATCAAACAGGTGAATAGCAGACTATATAAAACGGAAGCAATCCATATATTATGAAAATAAGCAGTCGTGATGCAGTGGTAGCGCATTTGCCTCAGAAAAAAAGGATCCGTGGTTCAAACCCCACCTTTGAACAAGTTTTGCGACATCGGTTAGGAAAGAGGCGTGAACTTCTAAATAAATGCTCATCCGCAGTGGTCTGTGATAAAACCATATGGACTTCATGGGGCACCTAAATGAAATTAAAAAAATTGAATAAAATAAAGAACATACAAGTTTATTTTTAATTTCTTGTGGAGTGACTCAAGCGGCTAGTTTTGAACATCTGCTTTTCCTTATATATTTGAATGATCTCTGGAGAGCGTCTAATATATCAACATATCAATCAAGGGATATACTTAATAAATATTATCTAAAACAAATGTATTTCAGTTTTACACAAAGTTACTAAAATTAAGCAAATATCGGTAGGTGGTAAAATGCAAACTACGAACTGCAAACCGGTAAAATGCGAACTTATCTGCGAACCATGGTTCTATTGGTTTTTAATGATGTAATTTTTTTCATTTTCCTTTAGCCGTGAAATTGTTTATTTTACTATATATTTTATGGACTTTAAGCAGAAACATATTTCATTTTTAATTTAAAAGAAATACAATCTAATTTAAATAAAATATATCAAATTACACTATATTTAATTAAAAAAAAAATGAATAGCAAACGTTTTTTTAAATATCATAACTGTAGTAGTCATTAAAATATAATGTCTTGGTTCGCATTTTATCGGTTCGCAGTTCGCGGTTCGCAGTTCGCATTTTACCGACTACCGCAAATATCACCCGGAGTAGTGCTTCTAAAGACAAACTAAAAATACTCGTTCAAAAACAAAAATATGCTTTAAAAATGAATTAAAAAGAAAAAAAACAAAGATGTAAAACTACTTTTCTAAAGTATGAATATTTATACATTATATAAGCCAAATATAATTAAAATATTATATCTCATTCATATAATATATATAATAATTCGAAAAATACAAACTTTTAATTGAAATATATAATGAAGCTACTTCACTCTACATACCAAGTACCACAAAACCATACCAGCCAAAAAAAAATTCATGGGTTAGTAGTGAGGTTATGGAAGCTGTAAAAAACAAGAGTAAACTCTGGGGTAAATATGTATCAGCAGGACCAGACGCACCAACTTATCAGAGCAGAATATAGCAAAGTCTCAAAAGTTGTGAAAAAAGCAAAAATTGACTATGAGAAGGCATTAACTTCTTCGTTTAAAAATAACCCAAAGGGACTAAACTCTTATGAAAAGCAAAATCAAAGTCAATGATAAAATCTATTTACTTTAAGACAGCAATGGATCGGTGACCGATAACATATTTAACATATGTAAGACATTGAATGATTATTTTTATGCTGTATTTGAAGTAAAGCCGCAAGGACCTCTACCAAGTTTTTTAAACCAATCTTCGGTCACTTGCGACAGCAGAATTGATTTCGTTACATATGAAGAAGTCAAAAACAAACTGCTTAAACTTGATCTTTCAAAAGCAATAGGTCCTGATGGTATCCATCCTAGAGTCTTAAAAAATTGCGCAGAAGCTTTTTCAATACCTTTAACCATGTTATTTAAATCTTCTATTTTAACATCGTTTGTTCCAGATCAATGGAGAAAAGCAGAAGTAACACCTATTTTCAAAAAAGGAAATAAGTTAAAAGCAAGCAACTACCGGCCCGTTTCCAAAACTTCGGTACCCTGTAAGGTGTTGGAAGGTTTAATCCACAATTTAATTATGCAGCACTGCGTCAAAAACAACCTTATTACTCCAGCTCAGCATGGCTTCGTCAAACACAAGGGGTGTGCAACAAACCTATTATAATTGCGTGATATTGTTACTGACGCCATCAACCAGGGATTACGGCAGACGTAATTTATACAGAAAGCGTTCGATAAGGTACCGCACAAAAGACTTTTATACAAACTAAAGGCTTAGGGTATTCGTGGTCAACTACATAACTGGATAAGAAATTGGCTAACAAATAGAGAACAACGTGTCAAAAGAGGTGATACATTGTCTCCATGGAAAAAAGTGTTTAGCGGAGTCCCTCAGGGTTCGGTTTTAGGACCGGTCCATTTTGTGCTCTATATTAACGATTTACCGGACTTAATTTTGAATCATATAAAAATGTATGCAGACGACAGCAAGATCATAGGTGTTATCAAGTCAGAAAAAGATGCTCTATGTCTTCAAAAAGATATTGACACTGCTGTAAACTGGTCCAAAAATTGGCTTATGCTATTTAACATTGAAAAATGCAAAGTTATGCACATGGGCAAAAAAATAATAATAATAATCCAAACTATTTGTATACAATGGAATCACAAAATGGTCACTGCAAACAACTCGAAACCACAATGTGGTTTCGAGTTGTTTGCAGTGACCATTTTGTGATTCCATTGTATACAAATAGTTTGGATTATTATTATTATTTTTTTGCCCATGTGCATAACTTTGTATTTTTTGCACAAAAGAATGCGATTTGGGAGTTATAGTTTCCAATAACCTTAAAGTGAAATTACAAGCTGAACACGTAGCTGCAGCTGGAAATAGAGTGCTAGTGAAATTTAAAAAGGGATTCAGAAGTCGTGGTTTAACTCTTTGGCGTTTTTTATATACTACCTATATCCGACCATTATTAGAATTTGCTGCCCCAGCGTGGTTTCCTCATTTCATAGGAGATATAAACACAATTGAAAAAATTCAGCATCGAACAACGAAATGGATCAGGTCAATAAGTAATCTAAAATACGAGGAACGTTTAACACGGCTTATTCTGACTACTCTTGAAACTCGCCGCATGCGTATTGATCTTATACAGCAGTACAAAATAATTAATAGAATTGATTCAATCAATTTTGTGGCGCCACAAACGTTGGTTTAGCCAGTTTAGAGTTTGGAGTGTACGATGCTGTTGCAAATAGCGTACCGTTATGGGTCTAAAAATAGAATTTTTTCCAGAAACGTAAGGCACTTTGGGATCGATATTCGGACAAACATTGCACAGAAACAAAAGAATTTCTTAAAAAACACTAGTAGTTGTGGGATTGATATTCGGACAAACAAACAATTTGACGTCACCATAACGGTACGCTATTATAACATCGGTATGAAGTCTGTCATTTTAATTTATGAAAAACTAAATATGAAACCAGGGCATTTTACTTTAGCTGGTTGCAGACTCATAAACAAAAAACGAATAAAACTATCATTATTTAAATCGAGTGAAATTTTTAAGATGAAACGAAAGATGGTACGACGTCAACGATTATTTTGATGATCATCCTTTGATGATCATCAAAAGTCAATAGAAAAGTTCAAGGAATATTATGAATCTGGTAGTTTTTGAAATATTCTTTTAAAAAGTTATTTTTTTAATGATATTTTTATGAAATGAACAATAGTTTATGATTTTATTTTTTGTTTTGTATTTTCTGAGAATTTAATTTTTAAACACGTCGGGAAAAAAATCTTGAAAAGTATACATGCTATCATGATGAAATTTTCAGGGATCGTTCATTTTACCAATGTTTATGATATGAGCGGAGTAGAATTTCTCATATGACTTAAGATTTTGAGTTTTTTAGTTTTTTTCTTTGTATTTTGACCTTTTTTTTAATAATCTCATTTGACTGTAGCTTTTTATGAAAAAAAAAATTTTATTTAAAAATCTGCTTCGCTCATATCACAAATTTACATATTTAGAACAGTTCTACAAAATTTCATTGACACTCCTTTACTCATAATTCTTATTTTTTTTTACAGCGTAAACACAGTTTTTGAGCTATTTTTTTTTGAGTTGCTATAGCAACGAGCTACCATTTTATGCATTTTTTGGTATTTTTAATGTCAGTATAATATTTACTATATGACTAAAGAAAAAATCACTTTATATGTGTTGTTTTGAAATTTGAGGGTAGTTGCCCCTTAAAGTCCATAAAATATATTGCAAAATAGACAATTTAACGGCAAACGGAAAATAAAAAATATACATCACTAACAACCAATAGGACCATGGTTCGAAAAAACGTTCACAAAAAAGTTCAAAAAAAAGTTCGTTACCGGCTACCGTACAAAAGTTAATTTCAATAAAATCTTTTAATTTTTTATGATCTCTATAAAATAAAACTTAGCTTTAAATATACGTTGCGCACAACAGATACCTTAATTAAACTTTTATGCAAAACAAAAAAGTAACATTTTAAAATTACATATTGTATTACACAAAAACTACTCATCTCATATTTAGAAGAAAATCTTTTCAAAAGATATATATAATAAAGATATATAACACGTGTAAAAAATAAAAATAGATTTCAAAGTTAATTAAAAACAATGTTTTGTAAATATATATTATAGATTATAAATATCTTGTTAATGATTTCTTCTAAGTTACAGGGTTTTGCAAAGTTATAAGTGCGCGTTTGCAAAGTTGTAAGTGGATTTATAAAGTTAATTTTAACTCTTATATTTTAAATATCAATGGAAAGAAAAGTATGGAAAACAATTAGGGGAGACCGGGGTTGGTTGCAACAGGGGTAAGATGCAACAATGCGTTTTAAAGAATAATTTTTACATATTATTTTTCAATTTTTTTACATTATATAACTATAATTATGACACGCAAGTTATAAAAAACTTATAGTAATAAACTTAAAAATTTAAAAGTTATTGATAATTGTTTTTTTTCTATATAAATTTCTAATTTTCGTTTCAATGTTTTTTTGGGTTTTACAAAAAACTAAGAAGTATATGACAATAATAAAATAATAGTAAGTTAAAAAAATCTTTTTCAAACACAAAAAGTAAAAAAAAATAGATTTTTTTAATATGGCTAATTGTATGCATTGATTAGAGTGATCATGATGCCTACGGGGTAAGTTGCATCAAATTGCTCGGGGTAAGTTGAATCACAAAAGAACTGCGGACTTTATTAATTTTACGCACTTTTCTAAATAATCGACTTTTTTTTAATAACAAGACAGCAAAGAAGTTTTTGAAAAAAAAATTATAATTTTAAAGATAAGACTATGTAACGTACATATGTATGTTATATTTATAAAGCATATGTATATATGTCTAATAATATAAAAGATAAGTTTATATTCTATGTTTATATTTATATTCGAGGATTATATAATCCTCGAATATAAATATAAACATAGAATATAAACTTATCTTTTATATTCAAAGACATATATATATATATATATATATATATATTATATATATATATATATATATATATATATATATATATATATATATATATATATATATATATATATATATATATATATATATTATATATATATATATATATATATATATATATATATATATATATATATATATATACATACATATATATATATATACATATATATATATATATATATATATATATATATATATATATACAGTGTGTATATATATATATATACAGTGTGTATATATATATACAGTGTGTATATATATATATATACAGTATATATATATATATATATATATATATATATATATATATATATACAATGTATATATATATATATATATATATATATATATATATATATATATATATATATATATATATATATACATTTATATATATACATTTATATACATACATACGTAAAAGTTATAATTACATTATTAAAATATTATTATTATTAAGTACATACTTAAAACATTAATAGGTATATAAATAAATGTAGCAATTTAGACTAAATTATATAAAATGATTTTTGTAATGTGTTTTTTTTATTGTTATGTTATTTAGAGGTTTAATAAAAATTGTAAATGCGAACTTACAAGAGAAAAACTGAAAAAGGACTTTATCCAAAAGAAGTAGTAATAGAGGCAGCAAGCCACGTTATTGATGGAAGAGTAACATCAGTTCGTGCATCAGCAAAAAAGTTTGGAATCCACTACTCGACTCTTTCTCGTTATATAAAAAAAGTTAAAAAAGCTGTTGATATGGGAATGCCACTACCTTATCCTGGATATAAAAAGAATCAAGTTTTTACTTATGAACAAGAAATAGCTATTGCTTCATATATATCAATATGTTCTGATATCTATTTTGGATTATCACCATATGAAACAAGAAAGCTTGCATTTGAATGTGCAGTAAAGTATGGTATTATTTTTCCCAAATCGTGGTTAAAACATTCCATGGCTGGTCCTGATTGGATGAGAGGGTTTTTAAACCGACATCCAAGATTGTCTATCAGAACTCCAGAAGCAACAAGTCTTGCACGAGCAACTAGCTTTAATCGTGCTAATGTAGGTGTTTTTTTTCAAAAATTATCAGATGTTTTAGATAGGCATCATTTTTCTGCATCAAATATCTTTAATGTTGATGAGACTGGTATCACCACTGTGCAAAAACCAAACAAAATAATTGCTCGTAAAGGCATTAAGCAAGTGGGTGCATTAACTTCTCAAGAGCGAGGGACATTAGTGACAATGGTAATAGCCGTAAATGCATATGGCAATAGTGTGCCTCCAATGTTTCTTTTTCCAAGAAAGAAATTCTTTGATCACTTTATTCGTGATGGGCCAAATGGCTGCATTGGTGCTTCGAATGGATCAGGCTGGATGAATGAGGAGTGCTTTATTACTTACATAAACCACTTTATTCGACATGTAAAGCCATCAAAAGAAAGCCCTGTGTTATTACTTTTAGACAATCATCAATCTCATTTATCTATTCAATTAATAACATTGTGTAAAGATAATGGTATAGTTTTGCTTTCTTTCCCTCCTCATTGTTCGCATAAGTTGCAACCTCTAGATAGATCTGTATTCGGACCATTTAAAAAATGCTTAGCTAATGCACAAGACTCATGGATAAAAAGTAGTCCAGGGAAAACAATGAGTATATATGATTTACCAGGAATTGCAAAAATAGCATTACAACATTCTCTTACACAACAAAATATATCTTCTGGTTTTAGAGTGGCAGGAATATTGCCATATAATAAGGATATATTTTCAGATGCAGATTTTGCTCCATCATTTGTTACGGATCGTCCAGCAACCCAATCTAATGCAGCTATTGATATTAGTATATCAACTTCAACCTCAGATGCAATTCCATCTGCAGTTTCAAAATTTTCCCCTGAGGTTGTAAGACCGCTACCAAAAGCACGACCCAGGAAAGAAATACTCACTAGATCAAAGAGAAAGCATACAGAAGTACTCACAGATACACCAGTAAAACAGCGTCTTATGGCTGAAAAAGAAATTAGTTCTAGAAAGCGAAAATCTGCTAGTACTTCTGCATCAAAAAAAAAAACAATAAAAAAGTATAATTGTTGACTTGAAATGTAATGAAACTCTTTAGTTTCTTTAATGCTAGTTTGTTTTTTTATGAGCCTTTATTGCTTGGAAATTTTTTTTTTTGTTATCAAAGTTAGATTATTGTTTATTTTTATGAAAGTTGTGTTTTATATTATTTATAAAACTACTCTTGCATTTTTATAAATTGATTTAATGTTTACTGAATAACTAAAGGAATACTTTTTTAAAAAAACACTTAAAAGTTTAAATAATATATGAGCTTAAATAATAATCCTCATTATTTTCTTTCTTCAGTTTTTAAAGTCTTTGAATGTAAGCATTAGTTTACTAAACATGTCAGGTACATGTCAAGTCTAAAATACTACTTTTCTTTTCTTTTAATTATAATGTTTTGTTGCCAAATAGAAATTACAGATTAACTAGTAATTTTTATGTGAACTCTGCAAAGCTTATACTTTAAAAGTATTGTGTTGCAACTTGCCCCGTGCACTGTTGCAATTCGCCCCGGTGCGGGGTAAAATGCAACATATTTTTGTTTCACTATTGCGGAATAACTAAATTTGATATTTTATTTATCAATGTTGGATTAATACGTAACTTAAATCTATTTTATAACCCTGAAAAATAAAATCGAAAAAATATATATTTAAAGGGTATAAGTTACGTTTTTAAAATTTTGTTGCAACCAACCCCGGTCTCCCCTACAGAAGAAACTAAAAATACGATTATTTCAATGAGAAATTGTGAAAAATATTCAATCAAGGAAATATCCAACGCTTGTAATTTAACTCGAAATGCTGTTGGTCGTGTTATAAAAAATAGTGATAATAATATACCCTTCACGTCATCTACAGTAAAAAGAAAAGAAACGTATAAAATCAAAAGTTCTATGAATACAAACATTGAACAGACAATATTTAATTCCATGATCTGTAACAATGCCGTAGTTCAAAAAGAAATTCAAACGCAAATTTTAGAACAACATGGTAAAAACGTTTCAATCTCGTTTGTTTCCCGTGAATTAAAGAAATTAAATTTGACACGAAAAAGATTAGCAATCATTCCTCAAGAAAGAAACACCATGGAAAGAATAAATCAGAGATCGATTTTTACGGCAGAAGTTGCTGAATTGCTGATTTAAATTTGTTTTTTTTAGACAAAACCAGATTCAATAAACATACAGTGCGCTCATATAGCTATTCTCCAAAAGATACAAAAGCGTACTTGACAGTTTCTGCGAATAAAGGACAAAATGTTAGCCTCATGTGCTTAATTTCCAATTTAGGAGTTGAATGCTACCAATAAAAAAGCGACGCATAAAATACACAATCATCTATTGATTTCATCAACAACAAACTAGTATCATTCTTTGCAGTAAATCCAAATAAAATTCTTATACTAGATAATGCAAAATTTCATAAAGCAGCTGCAGTGCTTCAATTACTAAGAGAAAAAAATATTGCTTACTAGTTTTTAGTACCATACTCCCCTGAATTGAACTCAATCAAAGAGTTCTTTTCAATGTTAAAAATTCACGAGAAATGCTAATCCCGATATGACTGTTGAAGAAACTCTAGAATATATTTTATCACCTGATAATAATTATAGTCAACAGTGCAATGCCTTTTATATAAATATGAGAAGATGGTTGGAAAAGGCAATAAGAAAAGAAGAATTTATCTAACTAAAATATTTAAAATGATTTGTTTATTTTTTTTAATAATGTATATTTTTGCATGCCTTTTTAAATTATTATGATTAAATAATGTATACAATTTTTTTAAAATTATAAAAGTATTTAATCTAGAAAAGTTATTGATATATAACAATATGCTAAATTAAGTAAAAATGTAAAGAATTTTCACTAACTAATCACTTTTTAGAAAAATAACAACAACAAAAAAAATACTTAGTGATTCCTATGCTGTAATTTAATTTAATATTTTGCGCAATATTATTAAAGCTAAAAAAATAATTTCCAAAAAATGTATATGCACTTATAACTTTGCAAGCGCGCACTTATAACTTTGCAACCGTGCACTTATAACTTTGCAAACATGCACTTATAACTTTGCAAACATGCACTTACAAGTTTGCAAAACCCTGTACTTTTCGCATTTTTATTTTAATTGCAATTTTGAGAGGTTTTTTTGTTTATATATATATATATATATATATATATATATATATAATATATATATATATATATATATATATATATATATATAATATATATATATATATATATATATATATATATATATATATATATATACTACTGTGATCAAAAAATAAGGTGAATATTTTTATAAAATGAAAAATCTTTATTTATTCTTCCAAATCTGTATCGTCCCCCTCAAAATAATCCCCCCCCGGCCCCAATGCACTTTTGCCAACGTTTTTTCCAGTCTTCGAAGCATGCCGAAAAGTCCTCGGTAGGGATAGCCTTCAATGCGCGTGCCGATTCACGTTGGATCTCTTCAATGGACTCAAAACGATTTCCCCGGAGTGGTCTCTTGAACTTTGGGAACAGTCAGAAGTCACACGGTGCTAAGTCGGGTGAATACGGTGGTTGTGGAGCAACATGGGTAGAGTTTTTGGCAAAAAACTCACGAAGAACCAGTGCTGTGTGCGAAGGCGCATTATCGTGGTGCAAAATCCAAGAGTTATTGGCCCATAATTCCGGTCTCTTTTTGCGAATAGCTTCACGCAAACGTTGCATAACGCTTAAATAATATTCCTTGTTGGCAGTTTGGCCAGTTGGAAGGAATTCGTAGTGCACGGCACCACAATAATCAAAGAAAACAGTCAACATGACCTTGATTTTTGAGCGACTTTGACGTGGTTGCTTCGGTCTCGGCTCGCCTTTTTCACGGTATTCACTTGATTGGTCGGTTGTTTCAGGGTCGTATGCGTAGACCCAAGTCTCATCGCTAGTAATAATTTGTTTGTAGACGTCTTGATAGTCAGAAAGCATTGCTTCACACGCTTTAACGCGACGCTCTTTTTCAAAGAAATTGAGAAATTTCGGCACCAAACGTGATTTGAGTCTTCTGAGGCCTAAATGATCTTCAAAATTGCTTGCACCGACCCAAATGATATTCCAACCATGTCAACAAGGTCTCGAATGGTTAACCGACGATTTGCAAGCACCAATTCTTTGATTTTGTTGATGTGGCGATCATCGATCGAAGTCGATGGTCGTCCAGAGCGTTCCAAGTCATCAACACGTTCTCGGCCTTCTTTGAAGTCTTTGTACCACTTGTAAACATTTTTTTGAGACATAGTCTCTTCACCGAAGGCCTTTTGCAACATTCGATACGTTTCAGCAGCAGAAATATCATTCCGCAAACAAAATTTAATAGCACTTCTTTGCTCAACAAAATTAGGTATCGTGAAAATCGCCGAATGCACTTTTGGTACTTCAGAAACAAGCGTAAACAAAAAAAAAAAAAATATGAGTTCGACATGTAATTTGGCGCAAATGTTAATGACATTCCTACCAACTTAAAAATAAAAAAGATTGGACGATTCGAATAAGGCGGGAAGTTTAAATTAAAAATTCACCTTACTTTTTGATCACAGTAGTATATATATATATATATATATATATATATATATATATATATATATATATATATAAAAACAAAATATGTTTTTTGTTTATATATATATATATATATATATATATATTATATATATATATATATATATATATATATAATATATATATATATATATATATATATATATATATATATATATATATATATATATATATATATATGTATATATATGTATATATATATATATATATTTATATATATAATATATATATATATATTATATATATATATATTTTTATATATATATATATATATATATATATATATATATATATATATATATATATATATATATATATATATATACATATATATATATATATATATATATATATATATATATATATATATATATATATATATATATATATATATATATATATATGTATATATATTTATATATATATATATATATATATATATTTATATATATATATATATATATATATATATATATATATATATATATATATATATATATATATATATATATATATATATTATATATATATATATATATATCAGGGACTACTAAAATAACGGGACGCAAAACTTCAAATCGATGCTAAAACGACGACAGGGCCGATTGTAAATGGCGATGCTAGTTTGATTTAGCAAAGAAGTTATGAAAAATTTACATTAATCTAATTATATTCACATTTTAGAATACATTAAAGTGATACAAATTTATATTACTAATATAATGTATATATTTTTCATCAGTATCGTACTGATAAAATATAGGTTAATGCAATAGAAATATTAGGAGATATTTACAACATTTTTTACAAAAAAGCCTTTTTTTTTTGAAAAAAGTTGCTATTTTTATTGAAAAAAGTTGCTATTTTTATTGAAAAATCAAAAGTTTTTTATTTTTTGAAAGTAGTAAGATTAAAAAATTGTATTAAGTAGTTTTTAATTTGAGTAATTTATTTTAAGTAATGAATCTATTAAGACTTAATAACACATTTTGTAACACTTAATTTAACATTTTGTAACACTTAATTTAAGTGTTACAAAATGTTATGTCATATTTATAATAAATAATAATGGTGTTACTATTATTAGTTATAATCATGCCAAGAAAATGTTCAATAGTTAATTGTACCACAAATTATTTAACATCAACTTCAGAAGAAAAGCTTCATGTTTACATGTTTCCAAGTGACACACAAAAGTTACAATATTGGTTGTCATTTATTCCAAATGCGTTTGAAAAAGTAACTTCAAATATGGGTGTGTGTGAAAAACACTGGCCACCAGGCTGCAAAATGCACAAGCCTCCTTGATCAAAGTTTGAGGTAAGCACCCTTAAAGTTGTTTTTATTGATAAGTTTTACAATGACTAATTTTAATAATATCTTTTTTAGGTTCCTGTTGATCCCCCATCTATTTTTCCTGGATGCACATCTTCAATGGTGGGCCAAACAGTCTCAACACAACCACATGAAAAATTAAAAATTTTTAAAAACACAATTAACAAATACAAATTTTCAACAATTTTGTCTTCCAATTCTCATTTATTCAAAGAAAATTTACTATTAAACTTTTATTTCTCTCATCAAAAAAAAGAACGAGTGAAGCAAAAAAAAAAAAATATGTTCTATACAACTCTTATTCATTCAAAGTTTAATTGCGCGAAAATTTTCTTTCTCTTTTGTTCTACTCTTTTATAAAAAGAGTGCGCGATGAAATTAAAACTTTTCTTTTTTAACTTATAATTATAGTTTGTGATAAAATTAAATTAGAAATAAATCAACAATGAGCAAAGCAACGAACAGATTAATCTGGAGCTATTTTGATATTTATGAAAATAATCAACATAAACAACACTACCAACAACAATTACCAAATAAACAACACAATCTTGCATAATTTTAGGGGCATTTTATTTTTATTGCTTAGACGTTCTAAATAATAAGTAAATTTAGTTCAAGTTAATAATTCAATATTTACAGTTGCAATAGAATAAAAAAATTGTGTTTATTACTGAACTTTTTATTTAGTTATATATTTTTTTACCTACATTTGTTATAAAAAACTTTAGAACCCCCGTCATTAAAATAATTTGTTTTAAATATATTTCGACGTGATTATTCAAACTAATTTTTTTCGTTTGACTTATCGAACTTCATGCAAAGCAAATTGAAACGAAATATCGTCTAACCAAATAAAAAAGCTGTTACTAATTTTATACGGGTAATTAATGTAAAACAATTTTTGAGATAATAAATATTCATAATTTATAAACATTAAATATATGGCGCAATAACAATTTATAGCAACGAACCAGCATGAAATATTTAAGGTTTTTATTATCTTTTTACATATTAAAAGTAGAAAAATAAAAAACTAAACAAAAAATCAAAAAAACTTCGACTAAAAATATATAAAAATATTTCTAGAGTTTCTTTTGTTAAAAGTCTACCGTGACGTCAAATACTAAAACTTTTATGAATTAAACGCGCTTCAAAGGAATTGCCAAAGTCTGTAGATTGCGACGCATAATTTGAAGACTCCGAGTAGTTCAAAAAAATGGAAAAGACGAGCTTCGGCAAAAACAACAACATTTGTTTTTCACGGTATGCATTCATTATTTATTTTTAATCAAAAAAATTTGGTTCAAACCTTTTTTTTTAACATTATCTTTAATATGAACACAACATGTGTTGGGAGTTTGGAATCCCTTTAAAGACAATGTTAATAAACTAATTAATCACTACTTATCATACTATATTATATTCATATCATAATAATAAATATATAGTTATAAATAAATTTTAAACCATACAAATATAAAGCCATAAATACATTTCAAAACGTTATTAATTATATCACCAACGTTAACTAAATAATCAGATTACTAAGTATTGAGTTTCTTTCTTTTTCTGTCCTCAATGTTTAATGAAACAATATCAGATGTATTATCAAGGGTCGTAACACCTTTTAAGAAACAGTTAGTTATTATTGAGATAACTTTTGAAATACCTATACTGTCTGTTTCTAAATCAAATGGTAATGTTGAATGCAAGAATAAAAATAATTTCTTTAAATAAACAACACATTGAAAACGTTTTTCAGACATTGGAACGCTGTTAAACAGTAGATAACAAACACAAATAAACTGGAGAAGAGTATCACCAGGATAACGCAATTTACCTCGTGAAACATAATCTGTAAATTCAGAACTAGCTGATTGTGATGTTGTTGTATCAACTATACGCTGCGGATTGATCTTGTGCTGTACATAACCAGCCATATAAAAAAGGGCAGCATTCTCCTGATCATTAATAGATTCATTGTCTGCATTAATTAAACATTCATCTAAATAAATAATATCCTCTTCCATTAGATCTATTGTGCAACAGTCTAAATGTATGCGTGAGCAATGAATGTCAGTTTCATCCAAAGAAACTATTTTGCTGAGTAATTTTTCCGCTGAAGGTGCAAACTGTTCAATACTTGTTCTGCTGAGATAAAATAATTTCCGTCACTTAGTTTTCTACAAATAAGCAAAAAAATTGCAAAAAGATATAACCAAATAAATTGAGTTGAACCGAGTATTAAATTATAGTTAAAACAGCAATTGTCAAATAAAAACCCATCAATAAACTTATGTATGTTAAAAAATCTTCTAAAAGCAGTTTTTTTATTAATTCTACCAATCCTTGTAGGGTGTTAACTAAAGCATGTTTTGTTTCTGGTGTAAAAGTATTATGACGCTTTAATCCCTTTCCCTCTGACAACTTAGAAGTTGCATCAGCAAATGCTAAAATTTCTTTAAATCTAAGGTCATCGAGTGTCTGGAAAGGAGACCTATTGATATCATTAAGTAAAACATCACAACCTTTCCTCTTTACATTTAGCATGTTCCATAATGAAACAATTGGTGCTAAAAAACAGGCAGTGTTCTCAAAATTAGCTAATCTCAATGCTGCAACAGTTTTTTCATTAAATACAGCAACCATGTTTGCAACATTTTGTCTATCAATCAAACTAGGGTACACTGACTTGCGTGAAAGCTTTGTAGTTTTGGCAACACAAGTTTTCTGTCTGTTATATAATTGAACAATGTGAGACCAATCACCAGAGAGAGGTTGATTATTAATTTTTAAACTAATTGTTTGTGTTTTTTCCGTAAACCAATTATTTCTTATACTTTTAAACAAGTGAACTGGATCGTGTAGCATAATAACTGGTTTTTCTTTTTCTATAGCACCTTGTCATTGAAAACTTTTTATTAACAACGAAATTTTGATAAACACTTCGATTTGTTGTTTCAGGTAGACATGATCGAGAAACATCAAACAATATGCCTTTTGAATTTTCAATGAATGCAAAGTATTGAGGATATCTAAAATAGATTTAATAACAAGTAAACTTTCAAATATCATAAAACGAGGAGAAAAAATTAATTTTACCTTTCTTTTATTTCAGACAACATTATTTCAACATCATAAAATCGAATTAAATCAATTTGATTGAAATCATCCAATTCATCAGGTATTGCATTTCGTGATGTTAAAGAAATTTTATTTATATTTGTAGATCTTGGTTGTGTTGAAACTGTTTGGCGCACCATTGAAGATGTGCATCCAGGAAAAATAGATGGGGGATCAACAGGAACCTAAAAAAGATATTATTAAAATTAGTCATTGTAAAACTTATCAATAAAAACAACTTTAAGGGTGCTTACCTCAAACTTTGATCAAGGAGGCTTGTGCATTTTGCAGCCTGGTGGCCAGTGTTTTTCACACACACCCATATTTGAAGTTACTTTTTCAAACGCATTTGGAATAAATGACAACCAATATTGTAACTTTTGTGTGTCACTTGGAAACATGTAAACATGAAGCTTTTCTTCTGAAGTTGATGTTAAATAATTTGTGGTACAATTAACTATTGAACATTTTCTTGGCATGATTATAACTAATAATAGTAACACCATTATTATTTATTATAAATATGACATAACATTTTGTAACACTTAAATTAAGTGTTACAAAATGTTAAATTAAGTGTTACAAAATGTGTTATTAAGTCTTAATAGATTCATTACTTAAAATAAATTACTCAAATTAAAAACTACTTAACACAATTTTTTAATCTTACTACTTTCAAAAAATAAAAAACTTTTGATTTTTCAATAAAAATAGCAACTTTTTTCAATAAAAATGGCAACTTTTTTCAAAAAAAAAAAAGGCTTTTTTTTTAAAAATGTTGTAAATATCTCCCAGTATTTCTATTGCATTAACCTATATTTTATCAGTACGATACTGATGAAAAATATATACATTATATTAGTAATATAAACTTGTATCACTTTAATGTATTCTAAAATGTGAATATAATTAGATTAATGTAAATTTTTCATAACTTCTTTGCTAAATCATCGCCATTTACAATCGGCCCTGTCGTCGTTTTAGCATCGATTTGAAGTTTCGCGTCCCGTTATTTTAGTAGTCCCTGATATATATATATATATATATATATATATATATATATATATATATATATATATATATATATATATATATATATATATATATATATATATATACATATATATATATATATATATATATATATATATATGTTCCCCCACCCACCCATCAATGATTTTTATCGGCAAATTTGAGTCGGCAAATGTAGACCCTGTCGACGACAGGTTAGAAAACGTTATTGTCAGGTTTGACAAACTAATTATTTAAAAAAAGGTTTACAATAAGACGAAATGATACTACTAGAAAACAATTTTAATCTTAACTTTGCATAATTTAATAATAATAATGGCTAACAAATTAATTGCAACAAATTTTTTTGAAATTATTAATAAACAAAACACAATTCTTTTGAATAATGACATTGATCTAGATGTAAACTTTTTGAGGACATAATGATTAACTCAAACTATTTTAATATTGAGGAAATTTCTAACCTCATGAATGCGTCACAATTGTTATTTTCAACATTAACTTTAAACATACGTAGTATGAGTAAAAACTTTGAAAATTTTAAATCAATGCTGAAAAATATAAATTCTGAGTTTATTGCAATATGCTTAATCGAAAAAATGAAAGCAAAACTTTCAAATTCCAGGTTATAAAGCGATTCACCAAATTCGAGATGGTGGCGCTGTATGCATTTTTATTTACGAGTCAATCCATCATCAGGAAATAGAAACTCTCAGCGTTCAAAATGCGTATAATAAATCATTAACTATTGAATTACTAAACCACAATATAAAAAAACGTTTTAGTAACTGCTTTGTATAGACCACCATGCGTAAATAAAAAATCTTTTCAAAAACAATTAAAATGGTATTTAAAAAAAGTAAAAAATAAACAAATTTACATCACGGCGAACTTTAACTTAAATCTTCCTAATGTTAAAACTGATAACGATGTAAAACATTTCTTAAGGTGAGTTTTCCACTCATCCGTTTTTTCACGGGAACGGGAAAAGGAAGGGAGAAATAATCACGTGGGCATGCGTATTATAAGTTTTAATTTGTCCGAAATAAAACTACGCATGCTCACGTGACTATTTTTCCCTTTCCTATCCCGTTCCTGTAGAAAAACGGAAGAGTGGAAACTCACCTTTAAACTCTCTTTTTCAAAACAGCATTCTTCCCTTAATAAACAAGTCTACTCGTGTTACTCTTCTAACTGAATCTCTCATTGTTAATATTTTTACTAACATTTTCACAACATGCAACATTTAAAGCGGAATCATAAAAAGCGATATAAGTGACCACTTTCCAATTTTTTTTGTATCTGAATTTTATAACAAAGAAAAAAAAAGCAAAGTAGTAACGGAAATAAAAAGGCAGATTACTGAATTTAATATTAAGGAATTTAGAAACTATTTACTCAAAGTAAACTGGAAACAACTACATAATTGTAAAGATACAAATAAAGCTTATGCATTTTTTTACAACGAGTTTCTTAATGCTTACGACAAAGCGTTTCCGATGAAGGAAACTAAAACCAAGCTTAAAAGCCTACAAAGTCCATGGATTATGGATTATCCATGGATTACAAAAAGACTTATTAAATCTTCTAAGAAAAAACTAAAACTCTATGAAAAATTAAAAAAAAAAAACTTATCAAAACGAAAAAAAATATAAAACTTACAAAAACCTGTTTGAAAACTTGGAAAAAAAAAGCAAAAAAAAATTATTTCTTAACTTTATTACAAAATAATATTAGAAATAACAAAAAAACTTGAGATATAATAAAGGAAGTGATAGGAAAAGAAAAGAAAACTCATGGTAATTATTTACCGAAATATTTATATACTGAGGATGAAAGAACAACAACTAATGAGAAAAAAGATATTGCAAACAGTTTTAAAAACTTTTTTATAAACGTGGGTAAAAACCAAGCAAACAAAATAACATCAGCAAAAAACTTTTTTAAATGAAATCTTAAAGAAAAAGACTATGTAATGGATGAGCTTGAGGTATCGCCTGCTGAACTTTGGTTTACTTTTAATATGATAAAACCAAACAAAAGCGCAGGCCTTCATGGTATAAGCCCAAAGGTTGTTAAAGAAGTTTTTGATATTATTGAGAACCCCTTACTTATTATTTTTAAACTTTCATTTAAAAAAGGCGTTTTTCCTGATCTCTTGAAACAAGCAAGAGTAGTTCCAATATTTAAGGATGGTGATATCTCAAAGTTATCTAATTATTGACCTATTTCAATACTCCCATGTTTTTCTAAAGTTCTAGAGCGAATAATGCATAATAGGCTTTACAATTATCTCACAACTCACAAAGTTTTAAATAATAATCAATACGGATTTAGAAAAGGACACTCGACAGAACATGCAGTAATTAAATTAGTTAAAGAAATATTAAATGGGTTTCAAAAGAACCAATATACTCTTGGAGTGTTTATTGACCTCTCTAAGGCATTTGATACTGTGGACTAAGGCTGTATACTACTGTAAACTAAGTATACTACTGTATACTTACTGTATACTAAGTAAACTACTGTATACTTACTGTATACTAAGTATACTACTGTATACTTACTGTAAGTATACAGTAGTATACTTAGTATACTAAGTATACTACTGTATACTTACTGTATACTAAGTATACTACTGTATACTTACTGTATACTAAGTATACTACTGTATACTTACTGTATACTAAGTATACTACTGTATACTTACTGTATACTAAGTATACTACTGTATACTTACTGTATACTAAGTATACTACTGTATACTTACTGTATACTAAGTATACTTACTGTATACTTACTGTATACTAAGTATACTACTGTATACTTACTGTATACTAAGTATACTTACTGTATACTTACTGTATACTAAGTATACTACTGTATACTTACTGTATACTAAGTATACTTACTGTATACTTACTGTATACTAAGTATACTTACTGTATACTTACTGTATACTAAGTATACTACTGTATACTTACTGTATACTAAGTATACTACTGTATACTTACTGTATACTAAGTATACTACTGTATACTTACTGTATACTAAGTATACTTACTGTATACTTACTGTATACTAAGTATACTACTGTATACTTACTGTATACTAAGTATACTTACTGTATACTTACTGTATACTTACTGTATACTTACTGTATACTAAGTATACTACTGTATACTTACTGTATACTAAGTATACTACTGTATACTTACTGTATACTAAGTATACTTACTGTATACTTACTGTATACTAAGTATACTACTGTATACTTACTGTATACTAAGTATACTTACTGTATACTTACTGTATACTAAGTATACTACTGTATACTTACTGTATACTAAGTATACTACTGTATACTTACTGTATACCTGTAGGCCTTTGATACATGATATTCTTCTTTACAACTTAAAATTTATGGAATCAAAAATAATAATTTTAAATGGTTTTGTTCCTATCTTAAAAATCGCAAACAATGCGTATCTTATGACAAAAACTACACTAAATTAGAAAACATTACCTGCGCAGTTCCACAGGGATCTAGTCTAGGGCCTTTGTTGTTTATTATTTATATAAACGATATTTACTTATCATCTAGTATAATAAACTTAATTCTTTTTGCTGATGACACTCGAGTTTTTTATACTCACTCTAACATTAAGACAGTCTTTACCATTATAAATAGTGAACTTGATAATCTTAATGAATGGTTTAAAGCCAAGAAACTCTCTCTGAATCCTACTAAAATCTAATATACGCTCTTTTCTAAATCCTCTAAATCTGACACGTTGCCTTTAAAACTTCCGGATATTTTAATAGAAAAAACCAAATTGCAACGGACATACTGTGTTAAATTCTTAGCAGTTTTAATCGATGAGCAACTAAATTGGAAAAAGCATATTAATCTAATAAAAAAAAAAATTTCAAAAACTATTGGAATCATGTATAAAACTAGATATACGTTGGATAAAAACTGTTTAAAATCTATTTACTTTTCATTTATTCATAGCTATATTAGTTATTGTAACATTGCTTGGGCAAGCACTTATCCGTCAAGACTAACTTGTATCTTAAAAAAGCAAAAACAAGCAAGCCGCCTTATATTAAATGGTTATAAATACACCAGTGGCAATCCACTGCTTCTTTTATTCATGTTTAGATTAAAATATCATATGCTACCTATTATTTTTGAAGATCTTTTTTTTTATTATAAATCATAAATATCAAACAAAGCATTCATTGCTTAATTATCAGGGTCGAAAAATTTTGTTAAAACAATCTGAATTCTCAATAAATTACCGAGGGCCACAGTTGTGGAACTCATTTCTCCCAAATAATAGTAAAACTACAACTTCAATCTAAACTTTT